AATACAGGAGAAAGAAGTTAAAATACAAACCTAATGCAGCCACAACATTTAAGGATTGGTAAACTGCAATATATTAATTTTGTTTATGGGTTTAGATACACTTTTTAAACTACATTGCTTGCTTTAAGGTAATGCACAGTAAAACAAGCATGTTACCACAATGTGCAGTAGTTCACCATTCACATGTTATTGCAGTCATTGTATTCATTTTAAATGGCACCCAGCACAGCATACCACTATGCATGATGGGAGTAGTTAGTGAATAAAAATGCATTCAAGTACCCTATTAAGAAAAATGTATCTTATTTGTGTATCACTCGGTTGTAGATCCTCAAATCTGTGCTGACACTGTCACATCTTAAAACTGCATTCAAGTATACTAACAAACATGTATCTTATTTGTGTATCACTCAGCTGTAGATCCTCAAATCATCTCTGAATTCATGCTGACACTGTCCTTCCTTCTGGAGGGTGACTACTTTTGTTCCCCATGGTCCTTTGTGTGTTTTGTAAAGTAGCCACAGATTCGAGCTCACTCCTGTGATGGACTACAATCTCACATTTAGTTTACCAATTTGTATTGAGATGGTAGTCCATCACAGGAGTGAGCTCGAATCTGTGGCTACTTTACAAAACACACAAAGGACCATGGGGAACAAAAGTAGTCACCCTCCAGAAGGAAGGACAGTGTCAGCACCAATTCAGAGATGATTTGCGATCTACAGCTGAGTGATACACAAATAGGATACATTTTTATTAATAGTTAGGGAACAAGGAGGCATTTTAAGATTTAACTCCTCAGTTTAGTGTCACTTTACATGCGAGTTACAACATAGTTCATCCTAGCTTAAATGAACCCTAAGAACCAGGAAGGTGGGGGGTTTGTGGGGTCTCATCTCCTGTTCTTATTCTGGATCCGCAATGTATGCACACAAAATGAAAATGCAAGAAAAAAAGGAAAATAGTTTTTTGTTTTTTTTCTAATTTCTACCAATTAAAAACAAACTGTATCCCCCCTCCCCTTCATTTTTCTCCACTTCATTTCAAGTCAGCTGACAGTGATAGTACCTTAAAATACCGTAATTTGTAGGGTAATTTTACTTTTCATGATATCAGCTACTTATATAATATTTTTGCATTGTAAATAGTCGTCTTTGCACAATTTATTTGAATACTAAAATGAATGGTAACCTGTGGCATGTTGATCTGTTTTGACAGCGAGGGACATTTCTCATCATAAAACATTCCATGGGAAAACTGGCCAGTCTGACTGGCACCCTGTAGTGTGGGCTGTCAGAGGAAGGCGGAACAAATATCTCACACTTTCTGTTGTATGCCGGAAGGTGTTTTGAGTTGCGCCGTCGCTGTTTAGGTCACGTGTTCGCGGCAGCATGGCGGAGGGAAAGAACGAATTGCAGCCCGGTGCCGGTAAAAAGAGACAGCGAGAGACCAAGCCTGGTGAGTGAGATGTGGCGCAGAGCCTCTGTCAGTAATGATAGGTCACAGGTCCTGATTAAGCCGCCGTCTCTACTGTCTGTAGATCAGGGACTGAGAGTGGCCATGCAGTTGTCGTATGTGCAGCATTGATCTGCTTTACAGCACGGAGGAGCCATATAACAGCATGGTAGGATTGTAGCTTGTCTCCATGTAAAGAGGCCCTGTCACCATCCTATGCATAATGTAATTTAGGATGTTATGTAAATGTACTCGCATTTCATAGAAACATAGAAGACAGGCGCCAGAAAGAGACCGAGTGGTCCATCAAGTCTGCCCTTATTTTGAACCTCTTTGAGTAGAGATCTAAGTTCATCCCAAGCATGTTTAAATTCTCTTACTGCTGACTGACTCACTCCCTCTACTGGAAGTATGTTCCAAGCATCAACTTCCCTTACAGTAAAATCAGACTTTCTAAGGTTAGTTTTGAACTTTCCTCTGTTTAGTTTGAGGGCATGTCCCCGTATTTTTAAAATATGCATTGTATTAAAAATACTGCCATCTTGAACTTCGCACCCCTGAGGTGTATTTCAACATTTGCAGCCAAATTGGGATAACACCTACTTTATATTGGTTCCCATTCACATGACATAATAGAATAAAAAATATAAACAAATTGCTGCTTTTTAAAAAAAAAAATGTAATGCTCTTTTCTGAAAACCCCAGGACTGAAACATCCTACTGAGCTTCCTTTTTTATGTATGGTTAAGAAGGGGGCTGAAAAACTGTTTGCCAAATTAACACTGTACTGTCAGATTTCATTATCAGTTGTAAATGAGATGTGCAGGACTGTCTGTCTTAACAAAGGGTTAAATGGTTAAAGTGCACATTTTGCTTTACCCTGCATGGTGGAACATCAGAGGTGGACATCTTTTCTTTGTGCAAAGCACAGGTTCCCACTTAGTGAACCTTTCCATTCCCTTGGTATAGTCCTTCTTTCTTCAAAATGTTAAGCCAAACTAACTACACAGTGATATTACTGATTTGCAAACATTTGACAAAAGTCAGCATCTAAACCCTCACCCCCCTCTCTAACCACTGATGCTGGCATGTGCAGAGAGCGCTAACATATGGTTGTCGCAGGAAGGGTAAAGCGGAGATTTACACTCAAAAATCAAATTCTGCCCTCTATGTATGATGATTAAGATGTAATATGCAGTGATTTTGAAATACACTTACAGAGCATTCATGTCCTGCTTTGAAAGGGCAAATTACTTCAGTTTGCCAAAGCAATGCACACTGGGATTGCCTTATCAGCAATGCTGGGAAATCTCACGAGATCTCACATGTGCCAGAAATCCAGGAAATAAAAAGAGAGCTAGCAATATGCCCTTAGTAAACATGGACACTGCCAGAAGACTGGGGAAGAAAAGAGAAATAAGGTCTACATCTGGGGAAACAAAAACCCTCCCCTTGCAGTGGGGCTTCCCTTGTACTGCAAGGGCACATTGCTTGTTTCTGTCCAGGGGACCGGTGTAAATAGCTTGCCAAATCCGCACCCCCGCATGTTCCAAGGCTGGCACCCACAGCATCCCCCCTCCACTCTGGCAGTCGGAAGCCTGAAAAATAAAAAGCAAATCACTAGCAATTACAGAATAAGATCACCCTTAGTCCCATTAATACATGGAATTTCGCACTAACCTCCCATAGATTTGAATAGGCCACACCTGTACGGCAGGAGCAATGTTCCATTCAAGTCTATGGGAGGTTAATTGACAGATATAGGCAGCCGAAAACTTTTTTTTTTTTTTACTGCAGATTGTTAAAGAAGTGCGTAAGAGCGGCGGGGGGGAGGGGATTGCAGTTCAGTGTAAGGAGGACAACATGTCTTTTAAATGGTAAAATGTTCTTTTAATGTGCATTTGACAGGGTTGCTTTTCTGTATAAGGGTATAAAGCAAATCCCAGGACACAGTCCCATCAACCAGAGGAGAGCAAATTGAAACATACTTTGAGCGTTAAATAATTACATATATTTAAAAATATTCATGGACATCCAATGCAATGGGTTCTCTAATGAGGTGCATGCAAGTGTTATTTGAAGCAATAACATTGTATTTTTTGGCTTTGTACAGCTGTAGATGAATCTGAACTTCTCACAGTCCCAGATGGCTGGAAGGAAGAACCTTTCACTAGAGAGGATAACCCTAAAGGATTGCTGGAGGAGAGCAGCTTTGCTACATTGTTTCCCAAATATAGAGAAGCTTATCTGAAAGAGTGCTGGCCATTAGTGCAGAAAGCACTGGGTGAAAGTGTAAGTATTCGTAGTACTATATGTACCAGTCATATTCATTTGCAGATAAAGACATTTGGGTTTAGCAGCAAAATTGAGGAACTCCAGCTAAATTGCTAAATACACAGGCCATACATAGTTTATGTGCATCGGTTTTTCTTGTCAACATAATGATTAGGGCTGCAACAACTAATCAACATAATCGATTATTGAAAAAGTTGTCAACTTTTTCAATAATCGGCTTCCGATCAGTTGACCCTGTTCACAGCTCCACACGCTGTGCGCCGCTCCTTCTCCCCTCCTCACGCTCGCCGCTGCCAGACCCGCTCGCATCCACGCTCCACACGCCGCGCCTCACGTTTCCTGCCCATCCACATCCATGATCGGCACAGGGACGCGGGGAGATGTAGTAAGGAGGAGCAGGTGTGGGGGGATGACAGCCGCTGATAGACAGGTCCGATCTCAGAAGCAAGTTGCTGGAAGACTGCTCAGGTAAGACTGCACTTTCCCACACATGGTGCTCAATAATGTATTGCTGGGATTTGTATTTCTCTATAGCTGATGGTACATTGTGCTGTATATTATACATAGGAATACAAATCCCAATTCAGAGATGATTTGCGATCTACAGCTGAGTGATACACAAATAGGATACATTTTTATTAATAGTTAGGGAACAAGGAGGCATTTTAAGATTTAACTCCTCAGTTTAGTGTCACTTTACATGCGAGTTACAACATAGTTCATCCTAGCTTAAATGAACCCTAAGAACCAGGAAGGTGGGGGGTTTGTGGGGTCTCATCTCCTGTTCTTATTCTGGATCCGCAATGTATGCACACAAAATGAAAATGCAAGAAAAAAAGGAAAATAGTTTTTTGTTTTTTTTCTAATTTCTACCAATTAAAAACAAACTGTATCCCCCCTCCCCTTCATTTTTCTCCACTTCATTTCAAGTCAGCTGACAGTGATAGTACCTTAAAATACCGTAATTTGTAGGGTAATTTTACTTTTCATGATATCAGCTACTTATATAATATTTTTGCATTGTAAATAGTCGTCTTTGCACAATTTATTTGAATACTAAAATGAATGGTAACCTGTGGCATGTTGATCTGTTTTGACAGCGAGGGACATTTCTCATCATAAAACATTCCATGGGAAAACTGGCCAGTCTGACTGGCACCCTGTAGTGTGGGCTGTCAGAGGAAGGCGGAACAAATATCTCACACTTTCTGTTGTATGCCGGAAGGTGTTTTGAGTTGCGCCGTCGCTGTTTAGGTCACGTGTTCGCGGCAGCATGGCGGAGGGAAAGAACGAATTGCAGCCCGGTGCCGGTAAAAAGAGACAGCGAGAGACCAAGCCTGGTGAGTGAGATGTGGCGCAGAGCCTCTGTCAGTAATGATAGGTCACAGGTCCTGATTAAGCCGCCGTCTCTACTGTCTGTAGATCAGGGACTGAGAGTGGCCATGCAGTTGTCGTATGTGCAGCATTGATCTGCTTTACAGCACGGAGGAGCCATATAACAGCATGGTAGGATTGTAGCTTGTCTCCATGTAAAGAGGCCCTGTCACCATCCTATGCATAATGTAATTTAGGATGTTATGTAAATGTACTCGCATTTCATAGAAACATAGAAGACAGGCGCCAGAAAGAGACCGAGTGGTCCATCAAGTCTGCCCTTATTTTGAACCTCTTTGAGTAGAGATCTAAGTTCATCCCAAGCATGTTTAAATTCTCTTACTGCTGACTGACTCACTCCCTCTACTGGAAGTATGTTCCAAGCATCAACTTCCCTTACAGTAAAATCAGACTTTCTAAGGTTAGTTTTGAACTTTCCTCTGTTTAGTTTGAGGGCATGTCCCCGTATTTTTAAAATATGCATTGTATTAAAAATACTGCCATCTTGAACTTCGCACCCCTGAGGTGTATTTCAACATTTGCAGCCAAATTGGGATAACACCTACTTTATATTGGTTCCCATTCACATGACATAATAGAATAAAAAATATAAACAAATTGCTGCTTTTTAAAAAAAAAAATGTAATGCTCTTTTCTGAAAACCCCAGGACTGAAACATCCTACTGAGCTTCCTTTTTTATGTATGGTTAAGAAGGGGGCTGAAAAACTGTTTGCCAAATTAACACTGTACTGTCAGATTTCATTATCAGTTGTAAATGAGATGTGCAGGACTGTCTGTCTTAACAAAGGGTTAAATGGTTAAAGTGCACATTTTGCTTTACCCTGCATGGTGGAACATCAGAGGTGGACATCTTTTCTTTGTGCAAAGCACAGGTTCCCACTTAGTGAACCTTTCCATTCCCTTGGTATAGTCCTTCTTTCTTCAAAATGTTAAGCCAAACTAACTACACAGTGATATTACTGATTTGCAAACATTTGACAAAAGTCAGCATCTAAACCCTCACCCCCCTCTCTAACCACTGATGCTGGCATGTGCAGAGAGCGCTAACATATGGTTGTCGCAGGAAGGGTAAAGCGGAGATTTACACTCAAAAATCAAATTCTGCCCTCTATGTATGATGATTAAGATGTAATATGCAGTGATTTTGAAATACACTTACAGAGCATTCATGTCCTGCTTTGAAAGGGCAAATTACTTCAGTTTGCCAAAGCAATGCACACTGGGATTGCCTTATCAGCAATGCTGGGAAATCTCACGAGATCTCACATGTGCCAGAAATCCAGGAAATAAAAAGAGAGCTAGCAATATGCCCTTAGTAAACATGGACACTGCCAGAAGACTGGGGAAGAAAAGAGAAATAAGGTCTACATCTGGGGAAACAAAAACCCTCCCCTTGCAGTGGGGCTTCCCTTGTACTGCAAGGGCACATTGCTTGTTTCTGTCCAGGGGACCGGTGTAAATAGCTTGCCAAATCCGCACCCCCGCATGTTCCAAGGCTGGCACCCACAGCATCCCCCCTCCACTCTGGCAGTCGGAAGCCTGAAAAATAAAAAGCAAATCACTAGCAATTACAGAATAAGATCACCCTTAGTCCCATTAATACATGGAATTTCGCACTAACCTCCCATAGATTTGAATAGGCCACACCTGTACGGCAGGAGCAATGTTCCATTCAAGTCTATGGGAGGTTAATTGACAGATATAGGCAGCCGAAAACTTTTTTTTTTTTTTACTGCAGATTGTTAAAGAAGTGCGTAAGAGCGGCGGGGGTGAGGGGATTGCAGTTCAGTGTAAGGAGGACAACATGTCTTTTAAATGGTAAAATGTTCTTTTAATGTGCATTTGACAGGGTTGCTTTTCTGTATAAGGGTATAAAGCAAATCCCAGGACACAGTCCCATCAACCAGAGGAGAGCAAATTGAAACATACTTTGAGCGTTAAATAATTACATATATTTAAAAATATTCATGGACATCCAATGCAATGGGTTCTCTAATGAGGTGCATGCAAGTGTTATTTGAAGCAATAACATTGTATTTTTTGGCTTTGTACAGCTGTAGATGAATCTGAACTTCTCACAGTCCCAGATGGCTGGAAGGAAGAACCTTTCACTAGAGAGGATAACCCTAAAGGATTGCTGGAGGAGAGCAGCTTTGCTACATTGTTTCCCAAATATAGAGAAGCTTATCTGAAAGAGTGCTGGCCATTAGTGCAGAAAGCACTGGGTGAAAGTGTAAGTATTCGTAGTACTATATGTACCAGTCATATTCATTTGCAGATAAAGACATTTGGGTTTAGCAGCAAAATTGAGGAACTCCAGCTAAATTGCTAAATACACAGGCCATACATAGTTTATGTGCATCGGTTTTTCTTGTCAACATAATGATTAGGGCTGCAACAACTAATCAACATAATCGATTATTGAAAAAGTTGTCAACTTTTTCAATAATCGGCTTCCGATCAGTTGACCCTGTTCACAGCTCCACACGCTGTGCGCCGCTCCTTCTCCCCTCCTCACGCTCGCCGCTGCCAGACCCGCTCGCATCCACGCTCCACACGCCGCGCCTCACGTTTCCTGCCCATCCACATCCATGATCGGCACAGGGACGCGGGATGTTTATCCGATTAATCGAACTTAATAATCGGCTAACCGATTTTGAAAATAATCGTTAGCTGCAGCTCTAATAATGATGATGCTGTTCAGATACATTTTGTGATTCATACACTGCTGTTGCACTACTTGTCATCAATGCAACTTGTGTCGCCTGCCTGCTCATTAAATTATCAATTAACTTAAAATGGGTTTTCCTTGGGTTTTGCCCCTGTAAGCTACACTACACATCCACCAATGCTCCCAGTGAATAAACAACGATTTATTTATTTTCTAATTGAAAAAAAAACCTTGTTTAAGAGATAGATAGATATACAGGGCTTGGAAAGCGCAATCGTCCTCTCGTCTGCGACGAGAGGACGGGGTCTGGACGAGTAGCTTCTTGGAGGGCGAGGCGAGTGAGGCGCGGCCCGAAGATTAGAAAGTGTGACCGGCTGCCCGTGGCGATTTTCATGGGACCACAGGAGCGGGAGAGCTGCCACCGGCCAGAGGACTGCATTACCCAGCAGGCAGCCTGGCAGTGGCGCAGCAAAGGGAGGAGGGGCCATGGGGAGACTAAAGAGGGTCCCGAGGTCCAGTCCAGATGAGGTGAGGTGGCTCCATGGCGGGAATCGGGACGGGATCCGACACAGACCTACAGAGATCGGGGAGAGCTGAGCCTGCAGGTACTGTGTGTGACATTGTCAGTGTATCACTCCCCTTCTCCATCACTGTATGATACAGTACTGTAGAAGTGATGGAGAAGGGGAGTGATATACTGATAGCAGTATCTGTGTGTGACACCTCTGTACCCCCTGCCTCCACACTAGTATGTAATATAGTTTTATCTATTTAAATTCTAGTAAAGAAGTATGTGGGGGGATGCTCAATGGGGACAGTATGGACTCCATACTGCCCCCATTGAGCAAGTTAGCGCAACTCCTTATCAAACCCCCCAAAAAATGTAGTGAAAAATGTACTTAAATGCCCCAAAACACAATAAAATACCCATATTTTTTTTTTAAATATAAAAGATGAGGTTCCCACGAGTAAATAGATACCCAACATGCCCAGGTTACAAATTTGTGTGTGTCTGTGAAACAGCAACAAACTTCAGTACCCCAAAAAGTCAATAGACGATGCTTTAAAAGCCCCCCATGTGATAGCAGATGGTGGTGACAGGTACTCTTTAAGGTGATGCTGGGGGTCCAAAAGATCCCCAGTGTCACCTTTACACTAGAAATAAGCTATTGAAGTGCAGATCGCACTTCAATAGCTTATAGCTGGGCTTCAGGAGCCCAGCACTGACAGCTATGGGACTGGAAGTGATGCAATCTGCATCGCTCCCGGTCCCATAGAGCGGGGAGGGGATGGACGAACGGAGGTTCGTCCATCTCCTCCCCAGCTTCCCGCCAACACCAGAGAAGCCGGTCCCGGGCCGGTATGAGGGGCCCTGGAAGCATGGCAGGGAGGGGGTCGGGAACTTTCGAGGAAGAAAAATGGTACTCAAAAACTTTGACATGCACAAAACTAAAAGATGTGGTGTTTGCAACAAATTGTTGTCAGACTTATGTCAATAAAGTTCTCTGACAAGTCACCTATACTTCACACTTTGAATTATTTTATGTAGCTTAAAGTTCAGGGTGCCTTCTGTGGTATGTTTCCATTAGAGTAGAGCTATTTTTAGATACATTTCATGCTACTCTCACCACCAAGCGTAGGCAAATTAATAGAGCATGTTAAAAAATACTTTTGCTACAGAAGTCACAGTTCCAGGTTTAGTGGTCAGTTACTACACCAGAATCCTGGCTATTGGTCATGTGATCATTGCAGAAAGGCAAATATCAGAATTCAAGCAAGGCCATTCATTTGCATTGCTGTCTGTGAGCTTTCTACTTCCTTAACCAACTAATAGGGAAGGGTGATCTTATGGTAAAGACTTTTGTTATAAAGGAATTATCAGTATGTCTAATTTCCAGTACTTTCTTTTTTTGCAGTTTGTGAAAGCAGAATTGGATTTAATTGAAGGCAGTATGTCAGTTGCCACTACCAAAAAGACATTTGACCCTTATGTTATTGTAAGGGCAAGGGACATGATAAAGCTGTTGGCCAGAAGTGTGCCATTTGAGCAGGTGAGTATAGTTGTTATGCTTTAATTTTCTGTGTTAATTCATAAATTCTTTATTCACTGCAGCTTTCCTAGGCTGGGGTCTACTGAGAGCTGAATGATCACTCGGCTCTTGGTCTCTTCTCCCTGCAAAAAGCAGTGACTGTCGCTCACCCCCTCCAGGAATTCTCTCCTCCCCTTTTCCCACACTCATGGCATTGGAGAGACCGATGGGAGGGGGGTGGGCACAGCTGGCTCTGGCTTTAGAGAGTTAAAGCCAACTGTCACTTAGGATGCTGGGTGGATCCCAATAATATTGTCGATCATTCCCAGCTGTGGTGCAGTTCTGTGTTGTCAGCTGATCTGCTGACTGGGTCACATTAGTAAATGTACTCCTGTGACGCAAAAGAGAAGTAAAGCCAAAAAAGGTTTGGCTTTCTTTCTCTTTGAAGTTATTGAAAAATATTTTTTAACTTCTAGATTTTAACTGATGTCCTTGCTCTAGGGTCATCTGCAGCTGCTATTTTGGATGCTTAAACAGATAGCAAGATTATTTTGTTATCTGTGTAAGGAAGGGATGGGACCTTTTTGATGTGTTTTTTTTTCATTGCACCATATATCTCTGTTGGACCTAGGTCACTGCTAGATGTGTGAATGGGCCCTAAGACAAATTGAGACCACATAGAATTTTTAATTTTCTTTCTTTTTTTAATCATTATTACTAGTTTGTTTTTTATTGATTATGTTAGGGTCCTTTTTAGATGAAAATAGTGTTTAGCTATTTTGTCTGTGCTTTTAAATGTTTCTCCCCTTTTTACATACTTTTTTTATTTCAATTTTGTTTTCTATGTTACTTGTAAAAGAAGCAGATTGGGGCTGCACAAGTGGTTAGGGTGCTTATTTTGTAGCACTTGGCCCATAGGTTCAGGTCCTGCTAGGGACTTTTATTTTTCATGTAATTTGTCTAAAACAATGTACAGGTAATTGAACTGGCTTCCATCCAAAATTGGCCAGTAGATTTGTATGACTGTTGTATGAACATTGGAATGTATACTACTACTACTACTACTACTACTGGTGCTGGAGGTGTGGATGGTTTTATGTTGGTGGTAAATTAAAAAGCATTCTAAGGACTAGCCAGAAATTCATACTAGAGTAGTTTTTTTGTTATAGCTTGATTTGACAATTGTCTATAATGCTTTCTCTTTTGTACTTGTTAATTAGTTTCTTAATGCAACTGTCTCAAAATATACTGCTACAAAAATAAAACCTATTCTATTTTGATTACACACCATGTAGCGTTATTGTTCCTAATGTTGCCCGATGCAATTATCTGATTTGTTTGCCCGTATGAGGGGAAATAAAATGATGGATAACTGTTATTTCACCTTCTTTTCCCTCAGGCTGTAAGAATTCTTCAAGATGACATGGCCTGTGACATTATTAAAATTGGCACATTAGTTCGAAACAGGGAAAGGTTTATTAAAAGGAGACAACGGCTTTTGGGACCTAAGGGATCTACTCTGAAGGTATTTTTTAGAACATTAATCTCTGCTCTAGATATATTGTTTTCAGAAGAATGTCAATTTACTGTATGATTCTTTTCAGGCCCTGGAGCTTCTCACAAACTGTTATATTATGGTCCAGGGAAATACAGTATCTGCTTTGGGACCTTTTAGTGGCCTTAAAGAGGTAATCTAAAAAGTGATTATATTTTTATGAGTATTCTTCTTGGTCTGATTGTTTATGGATGATTTCATTGTTCTTTTAGGTAATGTATTTATAGAGTATTCTTACAAAGGAAATCCATATCATTGTTTGTTTAACACATAAAGGCCCCTAGAGAAGCAAAATAGCTGTGTTTTTGCAACATATGTACATCAAAGACAATACATTACCTTCCCATTGTACTAAGTATAAATACATTAAGTATTTCTTATTAGTAAGATTTGAGTGGGTAATTCCATTTTCCCAAATTACTTGGTAAAGTGAACTTACACTGTGTGTGTGTGTGTGTGTGTGTGTGTGTGTTGCCTACCACAATATGGCCCACAGTGGAATGGGACTGCACTCAGTGTACACACACAATGCCCTGTGTTTGCGTTTATTCGCAAGCAGATAGTGGGGTTGGTTTGATTTACATTTTTTTTACTTAAATTTTTGTATGCAATACTTTATTTTATAGGAAATATTTTGATAACGTGGCCATTGTTTTAGAAAGAAGACATACTGTGATTTATATACTTTCACTAGTGGAATAACTTCAGGGATTTTGTGATATCATGACTGAAAAGTTTTATCTGAGTTTTTTTTATGGTCAGTGATTTTATGTTGTGTCGTTAGGCTTTAATGATCAAGCGTGAGTTGTCAAAAGACCCAGAGTTGAGAACAAAATGCTGGGACAGGTTTCTGCCACAGTTTAAACACAAGAATGTAAGCAAGAGGAGGGAGCCAAGGAAAAAGAAAATCAAGAAAGAATACACACCGTTCCCACCACCACAGCCAGATAGCCAGGTATGGTACTTTTTCTGCATTAAAGTAAAGTATGTGATCAATTGACAGGGTATTTACTGCATGAATTATCATTATAATAAAGTTGTTTTAGCTGTTATTTGTCATCGGCTAGGGCAGGGGTCGGCAAACTTTGGCGCTCTAGCTGTGGTGAAGCTACAAATCCCGTCATCCCTCAGGCTGTCAGTCTTGCAATGCCTATTGTGATCTGTAGTTCTACCACAGCTGGAGGGCCGAAGTTGCCTATCCTTGGTCTAGGGTCTCGTCCAGCACCGAATACTGCCTTTTACAAAACTTTCATAAGTAGCGCTAGAAGGACAGTTTTACAGAACTACCCCCATTCTATCAGGGCAGTGGGAACCTAATCTTTGACAGTTTCCCTTTAAATCCAACCTTTCTTTTTGGAGAGGGTTCCAAGCTTTCGGCACAAAGGGTAAAGTCATCGTGTTTGTGTAAAACAGATACAGCTCTTGCAGTAGAGAAAAATGTGGAAGCCTGTGTTGCATGTATGTTGGTCTCGCAGTACACCTACAGTTTCCTGACACAGAATAATAGATGACCAACCTTTTATATTCATAAGCTTACCCAATGTTTGGAGTAAGGGCTAAGACGTCTCTAAGTGTATTACTGATTAGAAACCTTCATTTTTATTTATTTTTCCCCCAATGCACATAAGTATAAGTAACTGGCAGGTATTAATTTATTCAGTTTAGGTACTTTAGAGTGCCTGTACTACTGCATGCATAACTTTTTTAATCGCACTGCAATGCGCGGCATTGCAGGCAGGAGAAGCTTTTAAAGTCCAATTCAAATGAATGGCAATGAAACGCACCACCTGCACTGTTAACACAAGGTAGCACCAGTGTGAATGGGCCCTTAAAGTGCCTCCACTGCAAACCAGGTGTCCTAAGCAGTCGTATGCAAATTTTGACACTTTAGAAAGTCACATATACCCAATGCATTTCACAGTGGAATACAAGCTCCTCTCCTTTGGTTGCTGGGACACAGTTGCGTTATATGTTGAAGTGTCTATGGGAAACATGGAAGCTGTTTGGAAAGAATGGAATGCTACGGAAGGCACAGCACAGAAACTTAGACGTTAATGACTGTATATGTATGACACATTGTTTAGTTTTTGTTCTGACCACCCAGAGGTTTGTTTCAAAGCATTGTTTCAAAGCATTGTTTCAAAGCATTGTTTCAAAGCATTGTTTCAAAGCATTGTTATAACTATAGTGCCTTATAGGATATTTAGGCTTTATCCAGTTAACGGGTACCTGTACAGATCCAAACAGTATGCAACACTAGTGACACAAGATCTAGAAATAAGCAATAAAAAACAAATACAACTGAGTTGCTGAGCAGGTGAACATACTACTTGGGTAATGGTCTGATAGGAGGGTGTATTATTCTAACATGATGGCTGGTATTACTCTTATGGTATATATTTGAATTGGTTTAAACAATTTACTGTTTTGGGTTTATAGCTTGACAAAGAATTGGAAAGTGGCGAGTACTTCCTGAGAAAAAGTCAGAAGAGGAAAAAGAAACTGGATGAAGTTAAAGTAATGTCTACGGTTTTTATAACATGAAGTTGTATGTTTTGTGTGTATTTTAAAGAACAGCTGCACTCAAAAATGATAAATTGTGTTATTACTGTCAACTGATGACATTCCAGTTACATATACTAGAATATCTCTGTGGAACGCCAGAGAAGAAACAGCACCGCTGGAGTTCTCGGTTCCACCAGCTGTTACTTGATTTGTGCTCTTCTTCCAAAAATGGACTCTCCAAAATGTACAGGAAACAAATATCTGGAGAATCCTAAATGATCTTTTGAGAGTTCGCTTTTACATGCGCAATTTTCCTTTGTTCGTTTTGGTTTAATGGTATGGAATATAAATAGAAAACAACTATTTTACTACTAATACAGTAACTAACAAAAAATGATTGCGTCAGTAGTTTAGTGAGACAATAATTATTATTGCTTCCAAAAACATAAATTAAATAAATACAGTAAAGGTGTTGGGTAATAGACTTGCAGACATGTGTTCCCTTGTGCTAGTATGCCTGCCATCTGGCAGTAATGTGACCAAAGCGTGCCTGCAGAAAATTGTATACTTAAATGGCCATTGTGGACGTTTATTTACAAAACTGTTGTCCTTTTGTTTGAGTTCAACTGCATTCTCTCAACATATTTTTTACTTTGGAATGTCTTATGTTTTCGTCCTACAGACCAAACAAGCAGAAGCGGTGTCTAAACGGCAGGAAGAGAGAAACAAAGCGTTTATCCCACCAGAGGAGAAACCAGTAGTAGAGCCCAAGAGAGGTAAGAAGAGCCATAATGGCTGTATGGCTAACATTATATGGTACACTGCATAGTGTATAGAGCAGGGATCCATTAGGAAGATTGTGATCTACCAGATGTGAACTAGTATGTTGCGCTTGGTTGAAATCTCTTACGTGCGATTTTTTTTGTTTCAATATTTCATTGTGATAATGTAATCTTTAAAACACATAAGTGATTTATATCATAGAGTGAAATAAAGAATTAAATATATATTAAATAAACATGCAAGTGGATAATACCAATTAATAAACCTTATCTCATCTTATAATTATTTGATCTCTACTACATGATGGTATTAGTGAAAACAGCACATATATAATCTGAATGTCACCCGTGTAATATGTGATAATTATGTGAATCACTATAAACGATATAAATATAACAAGGTTATATAACAGAGGAAGAAATTATTAGATGAACGGCAGAGTCCAACAAAAAATATATATATAACGGCCAAATGAAAAGTGATCTACCAGTAGCTCTCAAAGCTGATTCTGGTAGTTCACAAAGGGTGTGAATGGTGGCCCCTTTATTCCATTTTGGTATATTTACCAGAATAGAGGGGGGAGAGACAGACAGGGGAGAGAGCAGAGAGAGAGACAGTCAGGAGAAAAAACAAGGAATGAAAGCCAGGAGAGAGAGCGAGGAAAGACAGCCAGGAAAGAGAGGAGAGACAGCCAGGAGGATGAACAAGGAGAGACAGCCAGGAGAGAGAGAGCATGGTAGGTTTTTTTTTCTCCATTGGTAGATCTCTTGTGGCTCGTCATTTGAAAAGTAGATCTTAACACAAAAATTGTGGGCACCCCTGGTATATAGCAATGCTTCTTTTCTTTACTATACATGTAGCTTGTATATTCAAGAAGGCAGATTCTAAAAGGACTTTGTTTCAATACAAATATCAATAGCAGTCCTCCAATAAGAAACAAAGGGAACCTTTATGTAAATTTTTATAGCGATTTGTCAGCAAATTCTCAGTTCACAATCACTTTACCAATGTCATTTAAAGTGGCTTAAAAAGAAAAAAAATAGTATCAAAACTCCTACTTGGATAGATTCTCATATGCATATGTATTTTTCATGGGTTGCGATCCATTGGTAATTCATGGGCTGAGATCTGTATGTAAATGAGCCCCTTTGTCATTAAACCCACATATTGTATAGGCTATCTGGCTATTTTGTTACCTATACCATATTGCAGAGCTGAGGAGATTAGCTTCTTCCTGTTTTCAGTTTTACCACTTCTTGCAATTTAGATGATTCTAATTTGTTATGCAGTGAACAAGCTAGACAAACGGGTGGCATAGAAAGCTGCATGGAACTAAACCAAGAGATACGTGCTACCAACTGGCAGTGCAGTGTGGCTGCTGTGTGTAGATTACAAGGCTTAATTGTTCCTGGAGAACCTCTATAAGTTGGCCATACACTTTATGTGGTGGTTGGATGTTTGGAGAATTACAGGACTGCGAAGGGATCTTTTCATTGCAATACTTTGAAACACACTCCCATAACTCGATCTGATTTTATTCTGTGCCATTGGTGCAATGATAGTCAGCCTATTGTTGTTGATGTAGGGTCATTTGGCTTGTGAACCTTGAAAATTCCAGTTTTTGGAGAGAGTCATTTTTGATGACCTTAACTTAATTTTGTGGGTATTGTGTGTGAGATATTTATTGCAACTTTGTGTCATTTTCTAATGAACCAAGAAAAAGAGGATAATGAAATAATAGATGAAAAGACTGTAGCATGTTTCATGAAAGCTCTTTCTACGTGGCCCAGTAACAGGAACTGTAGATATACCATGAAGGGAATTTATCAAAACTGGAGCAGACAAAATCTGGAGCAGCTGTGCATGGCAACCAATTAGCTTCTCTCTTTCATTTTAAAATCTTAGCTGAACAAACTGGAGAGAAGCTAATTGGTTGCCATGCACAGCTGCTCCAGATTTTGTCTGCTCCAGTTTTGATAAATTCCTCCCCTGTATGTATAAGTGGAATAAATGTTGCAGAGCATTTTTAACAAACATTCTTGTGATTTTTAGTACTGACATTTTCAATGTATTTACCTTGCACGCATTTATTGTGCTAATAGAGCTGAAATGCTGATTGCATTTATTAAGTCTTAGGCCTTGTTCACACCAAGCGCAGAGCAGGTGCAGAGCAGATAAACTGCGTCCAATGTATTCCAATGGTATTTTTTGCTCCAGTTCACATCGCAGCGTGCAGGTCCAGAGCAGGTGAAAAAACTGCAGCAGGCCCTATTTTACCTGCTCTGTATCTACAAACGCATCAAAAACGCATGCAAATGCCTGGAACGCACTGAAAGCCCATTTTAAAATTAAAAAATAATATATATTTTTTTGGACAAAAACCCATCAAAAACGCATCTAAAAGACTAGCATGCGTGTGCAGAAACCTGACCGGATCTGCTCTGCATTTGGTGTGAACAAGGCCTTAAGGTGGCTGTAATACATACTGCATTGGTACAGATATGCATATTACGATCATATATTTAAAAAAAAAAAAATGATGGTATTGTATATAGCCATCTTAATCTTAGTATAGTACTAACTGAAACACTGCATGTCTGTTGTATTTCCAGAGCCTACTTCCACCAAAATTGATGTGAATGCCATTAAAGAGAAGGTAAAGAAAGCGAAAAGCAAAAGGCTTGGTGCTCTTCCAGAAGCGGAAGTAAAACAAAAGTTGTTAACCTCTGAGAAGAAGAAAAAGAAAAAATGATTAACTTCTCTAATGTTATCTCTTCCTCAATGAAAGTTTTTTTATCTGATCATTTTCTTCAAAGAAGATAGTCCAGACTTACAGTGACCAGCTTTTTAACATGTTGTATAAAGTACATAATTGATAATATTGTACTTTCCCTTTTTATAAACTGGCAGCTGTCATCTAGAAAATGTGAATAATTGGGGTAAGATATACATAACAAAGGTGAAAAACATCTTCAATGACACTGTGTAGTCTAATGTCAGTCTAAGCCTATAGGTGGCACTATTTTCCTGAAAATGCATTTTTCCCTACTACCATTGCAGCGATTTGTATGATTTTGTATATAAATATATATTTTTACCCTTCAGTTGTTCATTATTTGTGTGTGATAAATGGAAATTCTGTTGCATAACAGTTTAGGCCTCTTTTTAAAAAAAAAATACTATAAATTCGTGTCCTGTTGTAAAAACCTGACTTGTTTTTAGAAGATCGGGCAACCTTGTTCAGATTGTAAACATTGAATGCTGTTGAGGTTTTTAAAGGCAATTCTTTACTTCTAAATTTAAATGTAAGTTTCCTCCTCCTCCAAGCTAACCAAATATATTGTTCCTCCTACCTGATCGGGACAGGAAATACACAAAGGAGGTAAGGGTGGGGATGTTTAATCTTTTCTGTGTTGTTCCTGTCCCTGTCAGGGTAGGATGTGAGAATATTCTCTTCCATGTTTTTTTATTTTTATTTCCAAGCTCCTAGTGGCGTTGCAGGATTTCCTTTTTAAAGATGTTAAAGTGACATTAAACCCTCAGATTTTTTAACATAAAGCAATACTGTAATGTGTGCCTTACTGTAATCCATGGTAGTTTCCCTTCTCTTTGCTGCTCTTCCTTTTAAATCTGTATCTCTTCTCATGCTTGGAGAGAACTTCCCTTTTCAGCAGACTGCCTTGTCTCAAACGGTGTCTGTGTATACGTTTCTATAGGCTGTAACCTGAGCCAGCACTACAGGAAGAGGCCCTGAGCTGAAAAGGGAAGTTCTCTCCAAGCATGAGAAAAGATACAGATTTAAAAGGAAGAGCATCAAAGAGAAGGGAAACAACCATGGATTACAGTAAGGCACACATTACAGTATTGGTTTATGTTAAAAAATCTGAGGGTTTAATGTCACTTTAAGGCTTACCTAGCTAGTATGCTCTACAGGTGAAGATGCTGGTTTAAAAAGGTGGCCTTACCGTGTTCATTCGGTAAGGCCACCTTTTAATAGGTTTGGTTGAACACGTGTGCCTGTCTTCTTAATTGCCTGAAAAAATGCTCCAGAGAGCATTGACTGAGCATTTAGAGGGCGTTTCAATATACTTCAATAGAGGTATTATTCCAGTGGCAATGCGTCCAGAATGCGACATGCACTCAGTTCACATATGGGCGTTAGCATTGGACGGTTGCTATTGTTTTATCTCACATGGGTGTTAATAGGTGGTAGAGAGGCGTTAAAACGCTTCTCAAATGCCTGGTTTTAACACTCGTGTAAAAGATCCATATTGCGCTCTAGAGGCATTGCCGCTGGACAAATGGCTCCATTGAAGCGCCGAGTCGATGCTCCTAAAACATTTTTGGGCCATTTAAGAAGCACAGGTGTTTTAGAAGAGGCATAGGAGGTTTTGCAATCCCAGAAACCACTGGGGAATCGGTGAGTGGACAGAGGAGGTGCAGATGCCACTTCCTGTCTGCACACAGCCAGCATTTTGCCAGTAAGAGGAGCTTCTAGCCAGGTACTTGCAACCTGTGACGGCTTGACCTATGCCACCCTGTAGTGCCAGGTGTTATCAGGGTCATCCAAAGCAGTACCAGCCAGAATCGGTCATGTCTGAAATGTAGCACGGCTAATTCAAGCAGTTGAACAACACCCAGATATATATGACCCAAGTCTACCCAGCTACTGCGACTCCTTCAAAATAGAAGTATTTCCACTGCTGGTCACTTCCCTTTACTAAATCACTTTACCCTTTAACACACTCCCCTACTTGCAGGGCATTTTGCAAGTGCTTTTGAATCCTCTCTAATGCCTCAACAAAGCATTCGGCAGGCATTTTCAACACCATAGGGGCGTTAATAAGCGTTACTCTTTTATTAAATTCTCAACGCACGTGTGTAAGAACCCTTAGAGTTCTGGGACTGCCCAGTCTCGGGGAAGGAGGTATGACAGAGCAGGCAGCTGCGCAGAGTGGGGGTCAGACCAGCAGTCTGACTTCCCTGCTCCACCTACTGCAGTGTGTGCTGGAATATGATCTCGTCCTGCTGACTGAAAGAGAACTACAGGGGAGATGTTATTAGACCACTGTCCAGTCTAACAGAAAGGAAATTGAAGGAGGCAGAAGGCACAGACTATTTCCATGGATTTCTGGAAGACTACATTGCTGCGCAGAAAGGTAAGCAGATATTTTTGTAATACTTCGAAAAGCTAGTGACAGTAAGCTGATTTTTTTTTTTTTTTTTTTCTTTACTGGAGTTCTTCTTTAAGAGAATTCATCTGGTATTTTGTAACACATAACATAAACAGGTCATAGAAGACAGCTGTTATTTTACAAGCTATGTAATTTGAATATACATACTCATTATATATCTTCTATGATTCACCTGTTTTCTAAGCTGCAAATGTGCTGGAATAGCAAATTTAAAATATTTTATTAGAATTACATTTTATTACAGAGAACAATTTTAAATATGTTTTGAAAATAAACATACTTCTTCGAGTCTTTACATACAAATAGTTTTCACCTCTTTATTAACAGTGGACCAGTGCTAGAGAATTACTAGTCATAGACGCACATGTCCGCAATGCAGTGGTAAAGGGTACTGTAATCTTTTGCAATAAATGTTAGATCTAGAAAAATGTCTGGAACATCTATCAACCACTGACACTTTCTCCTCTTCGCAGTAGTGACAATGAATGTACTTTCTAGGGCTGCAACAACTAATCGATGATTGAAAAAGTTGTCAACGTTTTCAATCATCGATTAATCGGCTTCCAATTAGTAGGCCCTGTGCACGGCTCCACACACGCTGAGAAGTAGTAAGGAGGAGCAGTTGTGGGGGCATGACAACTGGGATTATACAGATCAATGTACCATTAGCTATAGAGGAATACAATTCCCAGCAATACATTATACACTGTATGTATAATGTATTGCTGGGATTTGTTGTATTCCTCTATAGCTGGTGGTATTCTGCATTGCGCTGTATAGAGGACTACAAATCCCAGCAATTATACATTACACAGCGCAATGCAGAAACCCACCAGCTATAGGAGTACAACAAATCCCAGCAATTATACAGTGGTGCAATGCCGAATACCACTAGTTATAGAGGACTACAAAACCCAGCAGTAGTACATTATACAGCGCAATGCAGAATACCGGCAGCTATAATGTACTATTGCTGGGATTTGTAGTCCTCTATAGCCGGTGCCATTCTGCATTGATTGCTGTATAATTTTACACTTTCCATTTCACTATATTGTACACTACACTTTTACTTCCACCGCTCCAAGCTCGCTCCTGTGATGTACTACAATCTCAATACATACTAGTAGTCCATCACTGGAGCCATTTTTTAAAATGTATTTTATTTTTTATCCGATTAACTGAACTTAATAATCTGCTAACTAATCGATTTTTGAAAATAATCGTTAGCTGCAGCTCTAGTACTTTTCCCCAAATCTGAGTAGCAGCAGTAACGCTTTTTGCACTAGCTGCAATGTAGCGAGAGGATTAAAGTTGAACTATAGGGTATACCTTTTTTTTTTTTTTTTTGCATTTTTAGTTTTCTTATGATACATTTTGCAATGTATGCCTGTAATAAAAAAATGCACCATAAATTTACAATTCAGTGTAATAGACTGGGTGGGGCTTAGCTCTCTGCTGAGAAATGATCCTGACATTACTCTCTGGATCCTCCACTCCCATTAAGTGACGGTAGCTTGTAAGAGCTGCCGTGTGTTCATGAGGACCTGTGCAGATGCTCAGGGCACATCCTATCAGCGTTAGCACTTGCACATTCATCCTGCAGTCCTAAGACAGCAGAGGGGAGGAGGGCTTAGTGAACTAACGGTCTTAGTGCCGATATCGTATGTGTATTGTCTGGAGACTGCAGTGGGGAGGGGGGCGCAAAAACAAACTGAAGGATCGATGTGCAAGTGTTCATAGAACTATGACCTGACATGAATAAACTTTGATAGGATGTGCCCTGAGTCTGCACGGGGGGGGGGGGGGGTGTGTGTGTCTCTTCTCAGCACAGTGCTTAGCCCCACCCCCACCCACAGTACCCACACTGAATTGTAAGCTTATGGTGCATTTCATTACAGTAGTACATTGCAAAATGTATTCCTGTATCATAAGTAGGGATGTACCGATACTTCATCAATAACAAGCAAGGCTCCCCTAAATGCGACATCCCATAAGATGGAGCTGTCTATAATAGAAAAACAGGCAGTACAATGTATAGTACCGATACTTCCAGTATCAGGAAGCTTTGCTGTGAGTCATTACACGGTACTCGATACTGAAAAATAGTATCGGTGCATCTTTAATCATAAGGAAACTAAAAATGCAAAAAAAGGTGTACCCCATAGTTCTTTAAGTAGAGAGTTCACATCACTAATATTCTGACACATTGACCTCCTTAGCATTACACATTTATTTTTCAAGGGAAATGTATTTAAATCCATATTTAAAATGCACATTTTAGGCCTGAAAATTACATTTAAAAAATCCTATAACATTAAAATACATTTTAGCACACAAACACAATATAATTCCCATTTCTTTATAAAATTTAAAAGATGAGACTGTGTCAAGTAGATCAATACTATATACGGTAAATGTCCAATCCTTAAAATTCTGTGCACCCGGGAAACAGCAAAAGTGTAATTATAATCAAAATTGTCCATAGGTGACAGTTTAAAAATAACTAGTGTATATTGTATAAAAAGTTTAAAACCGTAAATAATATCCCTAGAATTATTCATCTCGCTTAGGCATGTGTTATGATCCCCAAAGCGTGTCCCCCCAGTCGCTGTTTACATATGAATGGCCTAGGTGCGTGTATGCATTGATGTGAAGGTCCTTTTACTTTTTTTTTATTGGACTATAATTTTTTTTAATTTCTTTTCACCTTACTAACATCACAAGGGGTCTGACAAGCCCCTATGTAATACTACAGGTATGTATGTAATAGTACATTTTATGTGACAGCTCCTCTTTATTGATCTAATAGACCCCTGATGTCCCTCCTGCACTGCTTTCAAACAGAGTACCGATGGTACTCGATGTGTTTAAGTTCCTGACCACTGCTGAGAGAAGAACGTATGGGTTCAGAATAATGGATTGGAGAAATCCTCCCTCTGCTTCCCATCCTGAATATCCCCAAGCTCCTTTGTGTTAACCCCAAGTGTAACTCTGGCTTGGGGTACTATGCATAAACAGTTACATCAAGTAACGCTTGGGATTAACCATTTTTACATAACATTTTGAGCTCTAATCATGCCTGGAGTTAACGCTAAGAAGGTTAATGTGGTGCCATAGAGGAATCACTAAAAAGGGTGCCAATTCCAATCAACAAGTGAAAGCATTTAGTGAGCTACCAGTGCTATCCTGTAAGCACAGCAACTGTACTAAACCACTAATTACACTAATAGCAGTTCTGGCCCACAAATGTAGTGTGCGAAGTATAAGCATATTTAAAAATGACCCAAATTAACCAAGTTATGTATTCATTAACTGCCTCCGGGCCGGCCGTAGTAAAAAAACGGCCGGCCAGGAGCTCTCTAGATCTGAGCGGGCGTCTCTAGACGTCCGCTCAGACACGCCCCCTTGCGCGCGGGAAATGGCCGCAATTTAAAAACGGGCAGCGATGCCCGTTAATATACATTCGATCCGCCGGCTGTATAAAAAAATAAAAAATTTAAGTCCCCACCCATACACGCATGCATACATGCGTCGGGGGCGCATACGTGCAAAAAAGACGATTGCGCCCATTACGCCGCACATGTTACATATCGCCGCGAACGTCGCAGTGAGAGCAATAAGTCTAGGGCCATCAATCACTGATAACACTAAACTGATGAGCGGTAAAAACGTTTAAAGCGTCGCCTATGGCTAATTTTGGTTGCGGTCGTTTTCTGCGATGTCGGGGGTGCGCACAATTTTAAAGCTTGACATGTTTGGTGTCTATTTAACCGATGTGACCCGATCTTTTATATTTGACCAAAAAACTGGGTAATAATAAATGTTTCCTAACATAATGTTTAAAAAAAATTTTTTTTTCAAAATTTTCAGTAATTTTTCCTAATTATAATAAAAAATAAAACCCCCAGTGGTGATTAAATACCACCAAAATAAAGCTCTATCTGTCCCCAAAAAATGGTGTAAAATTCATTTCAGTACAGCGTTGCATGACGGAATAAACGTCAGTCAAAGTACAGCAGCGCTGAACACTGAAAAATGGCCTGGCCAGGAAGGGGATCTAAACACCTGGTCTTGAAGTGGTTAAACATATTCTTAAGGTATTTTAAATAGTATCTTATTATCTTAGGCTTGGCCTTTATCTTTGCCTCTTTTGTTGCACGGCATGATTCTGACTGGTAAAAAAAAGGACAGCATTGCAAGCCAATCACTACATTGTAGATGGATGATATGAGGAGTTGACCTCAGCAGTGTTTCTGCTCCTTCACTATTCAAGCACAGACTTGGTGGCCCTTGACCAAGCTGAACTATTTTTACCTGCAGTACAGAAACTGAGGTCAGACAGTGGTAGTACTGTCAGATATGGATGGACGGACAGAAAACTAGCTGAACAAAACTACACATTTTTTGTATGTTAGCCAGCTGATCTATATTTCAGCTGATAATTTACCTTCACTTCTACTGTATCTGTTCACAAGAATATAGTATTGGCAAAGGGTAACCACATAGCATCCATACTAGAAGCTGCTTCCTATGGCAAGCAATGTATTAATTGGCCCTAGAAACATGACTAGGATAATCTGATTTGATTATGGTCAATACAGGCAGTTCTGCATTCATTCACTTTCATACATAAAGGTCACAGTATTTTTCAGAAACTCTGAATTCCTACTGTTTAATATTATATGCATTTAAAGAGAATATGGGAAAGACTTTTATGGGATGCCCTATGCTAGAAATTTGGATCTTCTAATTAATCAACTTTAAATCTGTAGAGCTGGACTTTTTGGAAGACTTTTCTTAAGTAGACCTGTCTCTAAAAATAACATTTTAGCTGTTATAGCTTACAATAAGCAGCACACAGAAGTATTTAAACATGCACTTGCATTCAGTGTGTGCAATTCATGGCAAGGGCAGTAATAAAACTGAAAGGCTGACAGTTTGACTATGGACTTTTAGCTCAGATGTTTAAAACAGAGAACATGCCCTTTATTGCACCAATCCATAAACCATGTGAATAACTTAGCAAGTGGCAAAATAAGACACATAAAAAAACCTGAAGCAAAATAAGGCAGAGAAATACATAGTCTTTCAAGTCAGGCTTGGATATTGCGCTTCCTCAACCCTTCAGAAGTAGGACTTGATGTGGCATCGGCACCATCAAACTGAGAATCGTCTTCCTCTTCACAAAGCTCCCCAGATGCATTTAAAGAGGACTCTTCTGTGACAAGATTGTGTGCAGTTATATCTGCATCGTCCAGGTCTACTGGAGATTCCTCACTTTTGCTTTCTACATCATTTTCCTGTACTTCTGACTGCTGAGTTTTGAATGAATGAATAAGGTCTTCAAGTGTATTTTCACAGGGTTGGTTAGCTTTGAAATGTATAGGATTTACAGAAAGAAAAAAAAAAAAATGCAGTGATTAACACAATCTTTACAGCCGCTGTAAAATACAAGTATTGACAGACTACTATATCCTAGGTCAAACCACCATACTGCAGGCTGGCAGAGCTATTTGCTACACAATATATATATCTATCTCTCTTCCCCGCCCATTGTGTGACACATGAATTCTTTGAAAATGTGGGTTATACTACTGCCTACAGGAGGACTGGGCAAGGAAAAAAAATATATCGCCAGCCCACAAAACCGCTCCCACTACCATAATGCCTCTGTTTTTTATTGCTACTGCCCTAGGAGAATTGTGGTGGGTAGTTCTGCTGTGGGTGCAGTTATTACATGCAAAAAACCTATTAAAATGTTAAAATACTATGGGTGGGGAATTTATCAAAGATGGAGCAGACAGAATCTCCAGCAGTTGCCCAGGGCAACCAATCAGCCTCTCTCTTCAATTTGTTTAGTTAAGCTTTAAAAATGAAAGATCGAAGTGGATTGGTTGCCACTGGAAATTGCTCCAGTTTTGATAAATTTCACTCTGAATTAATTTTTCACTACAAGGCTACATATATGAAACAAGAAAAACTACAACTGTTGGTTCCATTGTACATTGTGACCAATTCTATTATTTAATAAAGAGGTCAATTTTATCTGTTTTGGTGCTTCAACATTCTGCATTTCTGTTTTATTAAAAAAAAAAAAAAACGCAAATAAAAAACAAAACACTGCATGCAACAATGAAGAGGCTTACCTGGGTTATGAAGACCTGATCTATCCATTCCAGTTGTCTTCATTAACTGTCTTATGGATTGTAGCTGATTCATGATTTCACTTTTCTGCTCAGTGGCCAATGTGCTAACACTAAAAAGTAAACATATTCACTTTTCATGAAGTATTTAGAACAGAAAAAGGTCTTTTACATCTTGGCTATCCTTTATAACTCATTAGTGTTTTTTTTTTTAATGTTTAGCAGCCAACGGTAATATACATGTTGATGTCTGATGAAAAAGGCATATTCACAGCTCTACTGAAATGGACAGCATAAATGAGGGACAGTCACCCACAGTGTTCTTTGCCTTGTGGCCTATTTGATAATTAATTTTAGTTTAAAAGTAAACCTGTTCTATTTTAGAGTTTTTTCGAAGTAAAATTGCTGCCTAAGGGCAGGTTCACACCATTTTCCGGACCAGATGTGAATGGTGTGAACCTGCCTGCAGTTCCAATACATTCCAGACCAGACAAAATCAGACGAGCAGTATTTTTCTGGTCTGGAACGGACTGCGCTGGTGTGAACAGAGGCCAGAAATAGCATAGGGATACATTAGGGTGCATTTTGGGTCCGGAATCTGGTCTGGTCTGGAGATGATCTGGATGTGGTGTGAACAGGCCCTAAGAGATGACACCACAGAATGCCTGCTTTCAACTTTTTTACCAAGAAAAGCATTTTCTCTGCTCCTCTTTGATTTAGTTTCCCTTTCTTATCAGGGCTTGACTTCCTCTGTCTTCATGGCTAAACCCTTCCAGCTGCCATTTCTGTATCCAGTCTGACTGCCTCATTGATATTAAAAGGATGGAGGATGGTAGTGGGCCATCAAGTCAGGGCAAGTCAGGCTCAGCTAAACAAATGAAGCTGCCAAATAGTACAAAGGAGAGGGTTTTCTGACTTATAAAGCTGGCGTCTGCTCCTAGGCAGGATGCATTAAACTAGGGCTGCAGCTAACGATTATTTGCCGATTATTTTTTGATCAATTAGTTGCATTAAAAAAATCACCCTCTCTTTTCCTTTGCCCCCTTACCCCAACCAACTAATCGATAATGAGAATGGTTGACAACTATTCTCATAAATCAATTAGTTGGTTGCAGCGTAAAGCCGGGTACACATGAAGAGGACCAAATTCGCATTGGTGGATGCTGTTCTCAGAATACAATAAACACAGTGGGAGATTCCTCGATCAACACTTGTAAGTCTGCAGGTTGAACAAAGAAGATATATATGGCTTTAGTTTTACTCAGCGCACAAAGAAACCCATGCAAGGATTTTTGTACTTGCAGTAAAATCCTTTTCCTGGAGTCCTTTAAAGAATACAGGAATTCTTAAGACAGTAATGTTATACTCTAAGAATTTATGCATCACTCAATGGATGATATAGAAAGCAGAATGGTAGGGCCAACCCTTCTTAACAGTTCGTGTTAGATTTATATACTCTATGGTCATATGTTTGCACACCTCACTATCACACCCACATGAGCTTGTCATCTCATGGCCATGAATATGAAATTGTCACTTTTTTTTTGGCTACAACACCGGGACAGATCCACAAATTGCTATAATGTTGTAGAATTTAAAATGTTGTACTTACCAATTGGATAGTGGGTCCAGTTGTGTAAGTATTGAATTTAACATTTGCTCGGTTTGTGAAAGGTGCCGTTCTAGCTCTAAAAGCTGACTCTCTGAAAATGATTCAATAGTTACAAAGCATCAATGAAAAATACAAAAATGATCTCAAGTGATAGTAGCACAATGTAATTGCAAAATCATCCCTCTAGTGTTGGTGAGCGCTTGGTCTCTGCGGAAGGGGAGGGTCACTGTTTGGTCAGATCTGCTGACAGGATGAATATGCCCTAAAAGGTGCCCACACACCTTGCGATAATCGTGTGAATTCCCGCGATCATACGATTATCGCACGGTGTGTGGAAGGCGTGCGACCTCTGCTACTGTAAGGTCGCACGACTTTTATCTTACGAACATGTCCGAAAACCCGCCGAGAATCGTACGATTGTCGGCGGGTGTGTGGCATGTTTGTAAGATAAATGCCGCACGGGCCGGTGTGCGCAAGCGCACACTGCCCGTTCAGCATTGCAGTCATCGGAAGCCTGCTCCTCAGAGGGGCGGGCTTGCGATCATCGCAAGTACGATCTGCCTGTCCAAGATGGGCAGATCGTACGTTTCTTTAATTACCTTACAACCATCGCAAGACAAAAGTCTTGCGATGGTTGTAAGGTGTGTGCCCAGCATAAGGAAGATCTCCAAGCAAACTTTTTCTTAACCCTTGCACCTTGGGGATAGCCCCACGCTGCAAGGCTTAAGCGCTTGTTTGTGTTTAGGTGCTAAAATAACAAAGATATAATGACACAGCACTGTTGTGGAGCTCACTCCAACCTGTTCCCTCCTCCACAGACTGGAATGCTGCTCAGCATCCTCTCATCTATACACTGTGTATAGGTGTGGTGATGTACGGGACCATAGACCACTGCAGAGGAGGGAGAGAGACACTGGAAAGACTGGTCAAAGAAAAAGCCAGCTGGGAGCATTGGGTGAGTAATTCTTTGTTTTTTTTTAACCTAGACACAAACGAGCAGTTAACACTTGCAGTGCAGGGGCAGCGCAACCAATTCCTGGAGTTCTTCTTACAATAAAAACATGAGAGGGAGTCCTTAGTGGTATAGTGCAATTACTCTTCTCTTTTAGACAACTGTTGAGATAAGACATCAGTCTCAAAGGAAGTCCATTGTTTTCAATGACTGGTCAACGCATACACCTGAATTATGAATAAGATCAGTAAAACACAACCATTATTTAGCACAAGCATATGTAATAAAAAACTGCATCTGTACATATGTAATTATAAGTAGAAGTACGTTTTTAAAATAGTAACACATTGTGATAAGATTACATCAACATATTTCAGATGCTTATCTAAAAGCATTGAAAAGCCTATTTATTTCCTTAATAATCTACAAAAAACACTGGCTAAGAGATGTGGCTGTATGTTATAAAGGTACCAAGGGGTAATATAATGCAGTTCTGCAATGATGCAGGGGCTGTGAATAGATTTTTTTTGTTCTATAAAAACAAGTAACCAAAAAGAATTTGCTGCAACATGGAATATATATATATATATATATATAAATGCATGTTTTGCTTTAATAAGTGATCGGATACATAAATCATGTACAAAGTTGCTCAAATCCTGAGCTGCACAGCCTCGGTTCTAAAATGCCATGATCACGCCATGATGCCATGAGAATATTAGGGCTTCTTAAGAATCCGCAGCTGCTGGTCACCAGAGCTCTTTCTACTCTGAACCACTGCAGATCAGTTGTTTAAAACCCAATTTTTTTCCCACTTTTTTTTATTTTTGTTGCTGTCTGACTTCATCGAGGAGACTCGCCCACCCTCATTTTTTATTTCTGCAGCATCATGATAAAGGCATAGTCAGCAATATGCATCTTGCAGAGGTCTGAACATTTCCCAACTCTACTAAATATGCATCTTTATTGATGTCTCGGTCACCATTTGAGAGATTTCCCATCAGTTTGTTTGTCTCAGGGACAGGAAGTAAGGGGAAATCTCCCTGATGGGGACACATACCTCAAGAAAACCTGACAGGGGTTCTAGAACTTCTCCACTCTATATTAAGAAAACAAAAAAAAGTAAAAAAAACACTGATCAGTAGGTATTCTGATCAAACATATTGTGGTCTAAGTCCAAGAAACCTGGTGCACCATGGGGGAGCAGGTAACATTTTAATTATGACATACCTGTCCGTTTTGCTTTTTTATCATCTTCCGTTGATTTTGATTGGCTGTTTTCTTTTGACTTAATCTTGATGTGGAAAAAACAAAGGAAAATATGTATTAACCCAACGTGTCTTGCTGACCAACTGCTATTTTAAAATACATAGTTTAGAAGTTATAATTGCTTTTCATGTCTGTCTTAAAATGGTGGCAATTCCTCCAATATTCAGGTTTATATGCCATCACTCACCCTAAATGAGACCCCCCCCCCCCCCCCCCCGGGGGGCTCTTTTTACACAGACGCCGCACAAG